TCTTCCTATCCTTTATATTTGTATTATTGTAGGAAATGATATATAAAGAGATTAGTGCATTTAAAAAAATTATAAAAAGAAAATGTAAAAAGGTATTATCTTAGACGAAAACGGTTTTAAAATTAGACAAGTCTTAATGGCTGAATTAATACGTACTACGAAGGGACGGTCACCGTTTTTTTCTTAGTAGGTATCAGTCCCGTGACTTTCATGTGTTCTTAAGTTGTTCTGATAAAAAATTGTGAAGCACGACACAAAGAGTGAAAAATCGTATACTTTAAATAGTAAATTTGGTTTAAACATATCAATATAAAGTAAATTTAAGTTTGGGATCATTATTATGAGTAAAACTGTTCGTATTTCTGTTACAATACTTAAAATGAATCGCAATTTTGCCAATAGTCGAACAGAAGTCAATGATCGATGAGTCACCGTGCACCTGGTATTGTTATACAATGCATATTGAATTTTATATCTCAGTAATAAGATTGTAATTACAGCAAGATAAGATTAATTTTGGTGACACAATTTGGATTACTACTGTACGTAATACATGTCGTTAATAATATTAACAAAGATAAATATGAACAGTCTACATCTGTATGTACATAGTAATCTCAAACGAATTAGACTACAATTGGCTTACTATAAATAAAAACTAAATTAATCATATTTCACCATCAAATCACATTCAGCATTTACAAAATGACACGAAGGATTTATGAATTTAAGTTTTGGTTTACTGATTAATGAGGGAAACATGTGTACGACATTATTTAGTTATTCAGAGAAATACATCCACTTTCGTTACAGTACTAAGCCAAAGATAATATCGAAAAAAAACACCATAATTCAACCAGAATTATAAAGTAAAAGTAAATTATTTTTTTGGTGCTATCCAACTCGAAGTGAGGCTTGGTCCGTCGGGGTTCGAACCCCGTTCCTCTTGGTTAATTATTAAACAAAACAAGTGCTTGAGGACTGGAAAGCAAGGGCTGTAAAATTTATAAAATCGCATCTTAGTGACTTTTAAAGCTATAATGCATAATATAAAGAAAAATATGCTAACAAGTATAAGTTTAAAACGTGTTTAATGTTTACGCGTAAAATTTTATGGGGGCATCGATTTGTCCGAATAATTGCCTGTTTATAAACAGTCTAAACCTCACGAATAAGCTGATTCATTCATCACTAGTTGATACTTGTGGAACACAAGACATTTTAAAACCCGATTCAATGTGTCACGTGTCAAAAAAAATTAAATAATATCGGTAAGCTTGTCTTAAAAATATTAATATTTATACCTATATCGCGTAAGATAATTGTAATTTTGCTTTTTAGGAGCCAAAATTTAAAAAACAAAATTGCAGGAGCAGACTTAATGGATTGTTTATAAACGATATGTACTTTTTCGTTGGCTTTTCTGTCACTGTCACTGTCAAATTGTTAGAGAAAATTATTTAATAATAAACGGAGTTGCTACTAGATACTTCAAGCCAGTGGCCATTCTCTTAAGTCTTTTATTAGCTACATATTGTAAGCATTCATTTAACAGCCATTACTTCATGTGCCCACAGCTAGGACTAAGTCAACTGTCAAGGAATAACATTGGTTAACAGACGTTTTTATTGTCTATTGAATTTGACAAAAGTTCTACTGTTTGTTAGTCCCTATAATACTTAGGTTGTTTTAATTAATTTCTTATATTGGTTGCATTCATTCATGTTGATTTACGACAAAATTGTATTTTTTACAAATACATAAATTTAATTTATTGTAGTTAGGTATTTGTACAAGAGTTGACAATACGTGCTAAATTCACATACATTACATAAACCATGGTTCGGGTTCCACCAAGGTTCCTGGAACCGTAGAGTAAAAGCCGATTTAAAAAAAATTCGTACGTACGTTTCGTTCGTTTTAAAAGCTACGTTATCGTCTGTAGACATTTATATAAACATCAGAAATATTATAACCCTTTTTCGCATCACAGTATAACAATGCTGGAAATGAAAAGGGACAAAAATGTGTATTTTATTCAGCACTGCGGTGAACGCAGCCGGTAGCAAGTAAACATTTCGAGTACTCGTTTAAAACAAACAGTTGTATACCCACGCAACATTTTGTACACTGTGTGGGACCACACAAGACCTATGGCGTTGCGACCTTGGTATTTTGTGACCTTAAAATATTTGGGTTTTATGTTCTTAGATGCACAGCATGGATTGAATAAAAATTCAAAAATATACAAAATAAAATCTTTAATTTATTTATACTTTAGGGCAAGGATCAGATATATTATGCGAATACTGTCGATAGATTTAAGTTGCAAATTATTAACCCTCTGCCTATCAAGCACAACCTTTGTTTCGCCGGCAATCGAACCTAGAATCACCTGAAAACACGCCATTTGCATATTAATAGCCAAAAGGTTTTTTTGCGTTGCAGTCCGTGACTTACCAATTTAATTTTTTTTATATCCAGTGTTTTATAAATATATAAATTACATTTGTCGCGAACGCTATCCTATTGAAAATATAAAAGTTTTATTAATAGCTCTCGGTATTGCACCTTGAATGACGCACAGTTGCCTCTTTTATACGATTAGTATGAGATGTGTATCTAATTCTGTTATTTATGAACTATTAAAAAAGTACTTATACCTATGACTTATTGGCAATTTACGTCCTTTTTACATTTACTAGCAGACCCGACACACGTCTTAAATACAAACAAAAAAATCAATCTTAATAACGGTCCAGCCGTTCAAAGGCTTCGGCTTTTGTTCTTTTCTATGTCCCAGCTTTACCCAAGGGTAATTTATAAATATCCTGCTTTAATTTCGCAAAAGTAGAAAAATTTAATAGCAATAATACTTAAATAACATCTCGAACGATTAGTACTCAGTGAACTATACCAAAAAAATCTTCCCACAAAAGTAAGACAATTTATCATTAGACTATGAGAATTGAGAAAACAATGCTAGCTATTAACTAATTAAGTACATATAAACAAAGGAAGCAAACATGAATGGAATACATTTGCAGATATGTGTCATTCAATAGAGTCGGCCTGTGGGGAATGCAAACAAATAAATACATGATTGAAACAATAAACCAACTTAATTGTTAGTAAAACTTTACGTCCTCATACATAAAATAACTTAGTATATAGCTGTCTCTATATGGCATGCAAAAAATGATTTATAGCTTTTAGTATTGGAAGGAATCCTTCATGTGACGGACGTTTAAATACTTATGTCACAAAATGAATTTCAGTTTAGCTATCTATGCTCATAGAACGACCGAAAACAAAACTGATATGTTTGGGCTTTAATAACCCTTCATACTCAAATGGATAATAATCTCGAGGTTTTTACTAAACTATAATGAAACAAACTTGCTAATAGTGACCATGCGACTGAATAACGACATAAGTTTCACATTATTTTTTTATGTACATTTAGTTGTTGTTCCCCGAATAGTCTATAATTAACACAATAGCGTTTCAGTGCCCATAAAATCTATATTTGTCTTTATCTAAGTTTGTACATTTGATACGTATCTAATCGTGTTAGTATAAATTTCACGGGTCCCGGTATAACGTCGTTAACAACGCCTGTGACTCACGCGATGCGGTTAAAAAAGCTTAGGAATGCACATACCCTCACGTTTTAGCCTGGGAAGATACAGGAAATTAGACTGGAAACAAAACACACACAGAATTGTCTAGTAATTTCGTGTAATTGCTTTTGTGAGTTTAAAACTAAAGAACTCTTGTAGTTTACTTGGTATTTAAGTTTTGTTTTATTGATCTTTGGCACGAAGCATATGACATATTTGTGACAAGTTTATAAATGCTAATGGCAAAAAGCGGTTGCAAGATTTAAGCAAGTTAAGTAATTATACTTAAATAATCAATCAATCTATCAATACTATTATTTCTATCTGAAATAAGACTACGTAGATTTGTGCTTTTCTCAGTCATTATAATCATTTCATCGGTTTAGAACGGTTCGTCAGACTAACTAACAGATTAGGATCAGGCGTGACACAAAAAGCATCTACTTTTATATATTTTGTATGCATACAAATGTGTTTAAACTTATTACGAAATGTAGAATAACGTTGCCTCAAAGAAAAATGTATGACGGTTTAATTTGACGACGTCTCTTGACTATTCCTGACCCACGCTTATAAATTCCGCTCTACATCACTTGTATGGACATTTTCTCGTTAGTGGTCCGTTAGAGAGCCATCCTTGTTACTTTGTGCTTTGAATTTCTGCCAAATATTTGATAGGTCTTTTAGAATTTATGCACTACAATATATGTTTTAAATTTCGTATTAAGTATACATTTTTTTTATTCTTCTCGGTATTAAAACTATTGAAACTTGTAGTAAGGTAGCATTGTTAAATATGCTTTTCGATGTTAATTAGATTAAAATATTTATAAACTATACATTATTATATATCTATTCGAAATTCGTAACAATAAACACATCGGCCAACTTTACTTCTTTCAAAGTTTATCTCAGAGTATGTTTGCTTGGCCCATGAAAATAATTAGACTTAGTAAGGAAATAAGAAGAAATCCAATTATTAAAAAATATGCCTCAAACTGTCGGACAGCTCGTAGTTAAGAAACGACGCGCGGTAGCTGATTAGCTGTAATCGTTGACTTATCAATGAACTCAAATAAACTTTTACAACATTTAATCTTATCTAATTGAACAGCCAAATTATAATCTGTTCCAATTTTTTGTTTACAAAGCCAAAACTAGCAATTACTTCGATAAAACACGACGCGGTCCTCGAACAAGTGATATTTTAAATAAAAAAATAGTGCTCAAAACCTGAAATCGATCCATGAAAAAGCAAACACAAAAAGTGAAAAGAATTCATTCGAAAACCGAGTGAATAGAGTGAAAAATGTTCGAGGCGGATTAAGTTCTGAAATTAAAAATGGAATGAGAGTTGGTGGATTTTTTCAATCCGCAATGCCGTCTGCTCTGGATATTGACCCGTTCAGCCAGCCGGAGTGGAGTGACTCTAGTGATTCAACGGAACCAGCCCCGTTGCCTCAACTGGGCTATTTTGTACCTGTGAGGTGCAGGTGCGATGCACGAACGCAACACGTGTGTCGGAGAAATAGAAGGTAAATCGGGATCAAAATAATGCGAATTTTTCTCGTTAGGACTAAAATAGAGACCTTTGAAATGAATTATATCGAAGGACGTATGTTTTTCAATTCAGGAATAATCATTATGAATAATTAAAACTATATATACATATGACATCCCCTATTATACCATATTAATAAGCAAGTATTTTAATTCCCTCTTAGTTAAAGTTTAATTCGCCAGAGAAATTAACATAACCCCAAAATTTTATATCCAGATACTGTATTAGAAAATAGATTATATACCCATTGGACCATACAAATGAGTCTTGTAGCCCCTAAAAACCTCCATACTTAATAAAAAATCTGTATCGCTCGCTAGTCGCTACACAACCCTTGATCTTAACCTCGGATGACTATTTCCTAGATAATTTTTCCATAGCTCCTACACTCAAGACGATAATAAAATTAACGTATTTTTCTTTCCAGAGAATCTCCCCGTTCCCGTCGTTCAATATCGCAATGCTCCTGCAACAGCATCTCACGGCGATCATCGGCCGCAGCGTCTCCGGTACCACTGCCTCCACTCAACAACACCATGGAGATGTACGTCGAACCCGTCATCGAAGATGTAAGTATTTAAATTTATTTAAAGTCTGAGGTTTGTAGTGATGACATATTTAAATAATTGCCAAAAAATTACTAAATTAAATTTAACTCTAGAAATCTCTAAAGATACAATGAAAATAAGTGGGTGCATCTTATGATATTTAATTAAAAAGAATTTTTCTTTAGTATGTACTCATTGTTCTCTCAGTTATCTTCTTGAATCCTTTCTTAGTCTCTTAAATTTACGTCAATTCTGAAAACATATATGAATATTCGTAAAGTAAAAGTAGTATAATTAAAGTAAAGTAAAGTAGATGTATAAGTAATATAATTATACACATGAATAAAGAAGTTCGTGTTTATGCTAAGTAGACACAGATTGTGTCTGAACAAAGCCCCAACGTGCGACTTATTCGTTCGCTGCCGGAAAATGAGTTTATCAATAGATGCGATAAGTAGAAGTGGTTTAAAGGGGGTTTTAATATGAAAATTATATGCGCGATTTCCCTCACCAGGTATAATTTGGCCATGTGCCGAAACTAAAAATTGAATATGATTGAAATAACTTAAATGTCTCATGTGATACTCACATTGAATTTTATATTTCTCGATAACCCTTTTCATTGACTTCGCAATTTGTTCCGGCCGACTGTAGAAGTATTTGTGTTGACTGCTCCCGTCCACATTGTAGATGTCATGGTCTACTTGGCCCTTTGGTGACATAAACAGTATTCTGCAACAATACAAGGGCGTGATACATAGATTTACACGTGTTTTTGCGAGGCCATTCGCTCTCATTTTTTTAACGAATACCAACAAAGCGATAGCAGACCACGCAATAAGTAGTTTTTTAATTGTTTACCGCGGTATATAGGTCCCATCCGGCGCGAAAGTGTTGCTTTTAGGCTCTTCATTATCAATTAAGTTCACCATAACAAAATGTTTACTTAGTGACTGAATTTCTGCTGAGTCCGCAAACTTAGGTTTCAAATTTTTACACGCAGTACACCACGATTTGTGTATGATCACCATCACGGGTTTCTGATGCTGTGAGGCTATTTGTAATCCAGACTCAAGCGAGCCTGCCCAAACATAACTGGTGCCAAAGCCATTGTCTTTTCCACTAAATGCAAAGCAGGAAACCTTAGTAAATATAAACCCGAAGAGTGCCTTTGGTAGCTTGGCTGTGGCCATTTTTTAAAAAAGGTTCACGACAGGTGTTCAGTCGTAGTAATAACATTTTAAATAATTTATCATGCTCGCCAGATCGCCATATTGTTTGTTTTACTTATTTGACACAATGTGACAGTGACAAAGTAAATGCAGTCTAAATGAACTAAAAAAATTAAAGAGATTTCTAAAGACACTACCTATAGTAGAATAAGTATAATTGTTTAGGAGCGGTAACTACATCCTAGTCGAAGTTCCTACGAGTCCCATTAGAGAGCGCATTTAAAATTCGATCCGTCTTATAAAAACATCTGCGATGCGATGAAATTAATACTAGTATTTTCTATAATGAACCCTGGCGTACTCTTAAATAAAGATATCGTAAGCGCCATCTAGTGAATTTTTGCTATAATATAATTATTAGATAGTATTTAGTTTAACACCATCTAGTAAAATATGATGGAAGAATAAAACGCATCTTTCTTTATTAGTACAAATACTACAACCTAGATGGCGCTTTATTGGTTTAACGAGTATTTTTTTATTATCCGTTCCTGATTCGTCTTAAACCATGAAATTTATTTTTTAACAGTAAGTGGTACATTAAAAGTCATAAATTAAACTCTTAACTTTAATCAAATGAACGTCGGTACTACGATTTTTTTTCGATAATACTATAATAACTACATAATATAATGATATATAAATAACTATAATATCAGCTATATATTTAGATGTATCTACCTCATTGAATTATGACTACTAATGTGTAATAATTGAGTTAATCGTTTAATAATGCATGTTTTATTTATACTTGCCACCATTTAAGTTGCAAAAAAAAATTAACTATGTAGCTTTAAATCAGTGTTGTGTTAAATGAACCAGTGACAAACTTTTTAAAACTAACCAAGTGTATCTGCCTGTATTTATTTATGCGTGAGCATGTTTTTCTCTCATTTTCAAATACATTGCATTGCCGATACGTCTCGCTCCAAGTACTCTATTGGAAAAAGCAGATAAAGTATGATAATAATATGTAATGTGAACATGATTGTCTGTTTTAACACGCATATAGTGGAATCACATCTGGACGCCTGCACGCTCATTAAAAACATCAGAGACCTAAAGATTTAAATATTAATACAATATTTATCATTTAGGTTCCTTTTAGAACCTCCTTTGAGTAGCTTATTTTTTTAATAAAAATATAGTGTACGTACTCTGTGGCTTCGTGAGTGAATTCGAGCGTTTAATCTGTGCATTATGTTACATTTTTCGCGCGCTTTCAAGTGAAACTTTCGTGTGCTGAAACTAGTGTTCATTCAGTGCGATGATTAACTTGTACGGAAGTCAGGGACGTAACCACAATGTTTATGGTACAATACGTTCCTTGGCACCAAGGGGCACCCCATTATCAACTCTTGAACAGTTCATTCCACCCTATTTCTACCACATACCGCCTCCTTCGCAACAAATAAATACTTTTCCTGGAAGAAAAAGGCGTAAAAGGGTAAGCTTTTATCATTATTATTGAGTTATTTTTTTCTGTAACTAGAAATTTATTGTTATTAATTATATATCCGAAATTCTATACATTTTGATTTTAGGATTAATTGTAGCCCTGTGACATTTCATTCGTAAAAAATATTGTAGCTGTAACAACTATCGGAATAGGTGACGACCCAAAACCATATCAAATGTTAGAATAGAAAACAAATGACCCACCTATAGATAACAATGTTATCTGAGCACCAGATGATCTGGGGGCGTATACTATGATTTTTTTTGTTCATATCTTCAAATAGGTTGTTATATTTATATCAAAAAAATGGTAAAATACCGTAGTTTGTTATGGAACAATCCAATTCGAATACCGCAGGGCCTCTAGGTCACAGTCTGTATGTATCAGACAATGTTCTGTGTAGGTTACAGAGATAATGTTTAATTTTGTGAGCACGAATGAATTTCTTTTAGACACACAATTAATTTTGTTCTTATTTTTGATGTCGAATATTTAATTTCTTTACTTCATAACCACTGCGAAGGTAAAACCTTTACGTTTTTATAAAACTAACATAAGCATAACTCGGCTACAGATACCTAATTTTATTAATTTTAAATTAATGGGTAATTCAATAAATAATCATCGCTACAAATTCCTTCGTCTATTTATAATTGTAACAAAAACTCACTGCACCATTAACCATCGTGAAAATTACAATGACTTTCATACTTAGGAATATATTAGCATCTTATTGCACACGCTTTGAACGATATCTCTCAATGAAGAGAGACATTAATTTGTAAGACACGTAAAAAGATGATGAAAATATCACAACGTCCAGAAGTATTTTTTTAGCTACCATATTTATTTATTTTTCATTAGGCGGATTGGGATTTGACAGTTAAATAACTTCGTTGCCAGTTAAAAATATCATAGAATAAGCCTTGAAGAAATTACGTAATACGTGTCATAGAAGTTAAAATTCGGTGGCTAATGCTAATTTATAGACTCTTGTCACTCACACTCACTTGACAGTCACTCAGCTGCGTTTATACTTTATACGGTTAATCCACTGAAACAATAATGAAAATCTTAATATCATATTTATATAAATTATTGGTATGAGAACGAAGTTGCTTCTATTTAGTAGTTAATAGTAGCAGAAACGTACGAAAATGTAGTTATTTTTTTAAATATTTTTTAATAATTGAAGTTATAAACTATTGCAAAAAAGCGTCAGTTTGCTCAAAACTACTCTGAAGGACTGGAATAAAGTATTATTTTCTGATGAAGCTAGAATCTTTGAAAATTTAACTTCACTTCACGCGTATTAATTTATTCGACACATACACACTACGTCAGCGGTCAGAATTACATTTCATTTGATTTGATTAACTGAAATCGACCAAAATTTCCTTAGATGCCCGTTTTTTGCAAAATAGTTTATGTATCCAACTGCCTTCTCCTGGAATAGGAATCTACAAATTTACTTATTGTATAATAGTAACATCATTTTCAATTTAATAAGAATTTCATATTTAAGATATGAATTACGTTAAATTAGTTTTTTTAAATACAATAAAACAAGCTGTCGAAAGAAAATATAATAAATAAGTCATTAAAATTAAATTGGTCTCTTAGGATTTATCTTTTATAGTATCTAGTAACACAGCACTTGGGACATGTGAAACGGTGCCCGTTCTTCCATCGTCTCGTTTGTCTTTCGTCTTTATGTGCCTTGGTTGAGTTTGAGATAGGTCTAAAGAAAAGAATCCTAGGGAGTATCCCAAAAGTGATGCTATTGATAATACGATAAACGTCACTTTTATTTGTGCTTTTGTATCCATTTCAGAAGATTCCTTCTACGGACTATATTAACATCAGCACAAATTACAAGCATGGATTAGAAAAAAACATTAATAATTTCTAAATTTACGTAAATAATAGTTTTATAGTTGTTATACAATAAAAGAGTTTAGTTTAGTTATCTTTTTGGCAATTTTGACATACAAGAAATAAACATAGAATAAAATACCCATAACCAAGGTACAGATTAAATAAATTGCATTGATTTCTTTGAAAAAAATGCAGGGTTTTCAATTACGTACCTAATTAAAATATTGTATAAAGTTTTGATATAGATTATAGTTATTTAGATTGTCTATGCTAATTTACCTTATGCTAATGCCTTTTTACAGAAATAAGAAAATACTTATTTATGAATATGCATGTACTAACTTAAATCGTAATAATTAGCCTACATTGCTACATCTGTTTTATATTGGTTTACTATTTAACGTTCCTACGAAATCAAACATATCTAAGTATTTTATTTCTTTATATTTCAAGTAGAAAGTATCATGGACATTTTGGTAGCTCTTTTTTCTTCTTTGGAGGACAAACGTGGGGTTCTTGTGGTTTTACTTTAGGTGCTGGTGCTGGCTCAGGTTCTACGTTTTGTGGTGATGAGTCACACGATCTCTCCTTGAGTATTTTTGTTATGATATCCTTTGGATCCAATAACCCAAAGGAATACATAAAAAATAAACTGAGTGACATAACAATCAAGCTTGTTTTCACTTGTTCCTCCTTGTTTCTTTGGTCTAGTTTCAATGAGAGACGGTCGTTGAGAACAGATTCAAACCATTTTCTGGGTGTCCAGTTCCATAAGTGGGGGGGTTTTATTCCTGGCTTCATATTGAGAGAGATCCTATTGTACTATTGTCATATTGATGAATGTAAAGAATGAAAAGTCTTTGAATAGGAAATCTGGTATTTAGGTCATATTTTGACTGTTGTTAAACTATTTCAGTTGTTGTGTAGCCTGCGAAAATAATGCAATCATGTTATTTAAAAGTAACTTTTTATTAATAATAATGGATTATCGAAGTTTTAACTTTCTTACCATCATTGCCTAGGGCGACGGCTAGTTTTTTCCAAAACTGTAGCAATGCAGGAAAATGCTGCAGAAACTGTTACAATGAGAGCAAATTCTTGACGGGACATGTCATGTCTAATTTATTTTACCTATGAAAATAGATCGTACTTGATCGCATAGATAATATTTTAAATATTCATCAAACGACCCAACAGACCACTGTTCCAGCTTTGTGCATAAAGCATTGTATAAAATAATAAGCATCTTTTTTATTCTTTTGTTAATTCTGTGTTTCTATACATTGTCCAAGACCGGTTATCCTGAAGATTCTTCTTCAATGATTCACGTAGTAATTCATGGTCATAACAAACACTTCGCCTAATAAAATGGCCCATCAATTTCTTGCATATACTTTGTATTGATAGCTATAAAAACTTCCAATCAGATAGAGCGAATGGGCCAGGTAAGATTTCCTAGCCTATATAAGGTGCATTTGTATGCGAAGTGCCTATAATCATCAAATAATTCTAATACAAAATAGGAAACTCAATAGTATTGTAAAAGCATAGGGTTCATTATGGTCTTTACGTTTAAAATCTTGGTAACATAGCTGTGCTACGACCTTCCCCAGTGATGCATTGAACCGGTTTATATAGATTCGGACAATGATTTCTCTACAACCAATTGTATTTCTTAACTTAGCCATCTCGCATATTACTTGCAAAACTGCTTCATTTTACTTAGGATATTCGATGGTATCTTTTATAATACTGGTATCTTAGTGGTATATTGCAAAAACTAGTCAGTGTCAAGACTAGCAACGTCTGCGCCGCGCTTATTATGTTTTTCAACTATAACTTTCAAGCTCGGAGGCTCAGAGTCCGCTCGTAGTGGGAACAAAACCTGTAGATACTGTTGGTCTACTTCGGTACGGTGTACCTGCGAGATTGCCGTCCCTTTCTTACCCACGTCGAACCCGTTTAAACGAGTCTCCGTTTCATAACACCACTCTGGTATGCAAAGATTGATAGCGTATATGACCATTTGGTTTTGAAAGTCCTGAGAAATCACGCACGGCTTTTTCGCTGGCGTCCTTAGTTAGGATCAGTGGTCGGCGAAACAAGGCTCAGACTGTTATATTAAAACTTCAACAATGACACAAAGTTATATCGAGTTATTTAAGTTGTGTCTTTGTTTTGCAGTGTGATATTATATCGCTAGAATTGCGGTTGTGTTTAATTCGTGCCGGTTGGATATGTGTAGTGGATTTATTTATTATTGTGTGATTGGATGATGATTTTACAATGGATAGCATGGCATCAGAAAACGGATTAGTGGTCAACAATTTGAATCATGTCCGTAGTGATTCTCAGGTAAGCAATATCGATGAGACAAAACACGTTTCAACGATCTAGGAATAAGTGCAATGACTCCCCAATTATTCAATAATCTTTTAAGTATACGATGACACGTAACTCGTAAGTTATGCCAACAAAGTTTACAATATCCGGTCTTCTTAGAAATTCGTTAATAATAAAATAATAATTTAAGGTTTAATGTCTTGTGATATACATATTTACTGGTTTCGTATATGATACGTGAGACCGAAAGCTAACATTAATTACATTATAAGTAAATGAATTAAAAGAATTACATAGATAAGATTTTAGAAATTAGGTTTGTTATATAGGTATCTATTCGTTTGCGTAGAGTTCACTTCATGTTCATATTGTTTTCCACGGTTTCATAGGTGTCTATACAAAAATCGCCAAAACGTCGTAAGCTTAAGTGTAATCGTAATAATAAATAAATAAACACGTTCACTGTACTGAGTGCAGAAAAACGCAACGATAATTTTAAAAGTTTCAGTTATCTATTATTGTTATTGGTATTCATAAATCTTTATAAATCATTAATGAGCTCCCCTTTAAAACAGTTTAAAAACTTTAAATAAAGCAGGATACTGTTTTTGTGTATAATGGACTTATTCTGTAAAACTAAGATGATATAATTTATATTAATCTATAGACCATACTAAATAATATCGGTAAACAAATTCAATACCAGCACTAGAAAGTATTTCCATAAGGTTTCCTTTGGTATTAAAATTGTAGCAATCATTGCAATAGGTTCAATTATATCAATTTGGTTTCGTAATGAATTCCTCAAAGCTCATAAGTTAGATTCAACATTCAATTTAGAAATTCGAGTTTATGGTATGATTGGTTTCGTCACCAACCAGCATCCAGGTTTCATAACATCTTTTTTAATATATATAGCAGTCCTGGTCGATTTCCATGACGGGTCTACATCGTAGGTCCGCCCCGACCTCCAGTCCCATATCCTAGGGACTATCTGGCCAGGAGTTTTCCACTTTTTATTTTAAATTTGTATTTGAAGAAATCCAATATAAAGGTACGCATCTTTATGATAACTACTAGATAGAACTATATATATTTTATAGTATTGGCGAGTTATTACTACAAATATTATTTTGATAATGTATTCACATGAAAGGAATTTCAGACACACTTTTAAGTAGTAGAAAATAGTATTTAACGAATATAACCGAAGTATTTAGGAATATTAGTTCATTCTACTGGCAAAGACTTAAAGTAACAATTTCTCTTACCCTAATAATACTCACCACGCTATTCATTAAATGATAAGAAATTGAATAAAACAAAGGCATTCCTCGTACTATACAAAAAGCCTTCAATATCACCTGTCGGCATAATAACAATGCTTCAGACAAAGCTGTAACATAACAATAAGGTGCCGTAAAATCGAATGAATTTAGACCCGAAAGAGGCAAATTTTTTATGAAGATCGGCTAAAATTGGAAGAGCCACATGTCAGATGACGTCACTGTTAAACCAGTTTCGCGCCAATTCGCAGCTGTCGTCGGCAAAGTGGCTCGGTTTCCAATAATTTACTATTTTTCTTATCGTCCAGCCTCCGAGATACACAGTTAAGCTGTGGTTAACTTTTCTAATAGCGGACTGCTTCTCTATTAAAAGAAAAATCCACTAAACTAATTACGAGGTACATAAAGTTTGAACATTAAATGAATATTTTTGTATGATATATTTATATTAAAGTTCTAAAAAATAATTAATAATTTTTATTTACGTTCTGCTGTTCTGTTGATTGTGAACAATGGATGTCTTTCAGATATGTCTTATTCAACGAATATATAACTAAAAAAATAGAAGAGCATGTATTTAATGCTATATAAATATAATAATAGCAAACTTTGCCCTGGTTATGTATCTCTAATAGCCTTGATAACTCTCGCACTGACTGTCGTCGGCATACTGAACAGAATGTTGATTGCAGAAACCGTCACGTATGAACAACCATTATAATAGAGTTAGTAACAAAACTATGGAAATTGATACCTATATTTACATGTAAAATATTCAACTTTCATTAAATTGAAAGTAAACGAGCCTGACAAGTTTCACGCCTAGGGCGAGGTCTGACATTACCTTTAGAAGATAATCCTCATAATATTAAACAATCCTTTTCCAATGTAATAATGTACATGCGAAAGTGGCTTTATTTTGTAAGTACATATCGTTTAGGTTTTATAGGCTGTTTCAAGCGCAGATACACCCCTCAAAAATGGGCATTCAAAGTTAATTGCGAAAATTGCAATCGAACTTGCTCATAAGTGAAAATGTCCTACTGAAATAACTCTTAATCACAATTAATCAGTCTATCTGAAAACTTACGTACTTTTGATCTGATAATCGATCCATAATAAACTAAGATGTGGAAAGTTACAAAGTCAGAAATTTGCATAATACGCAAACTTTTACTTTCTTACGGACCGGTCAACTAATAACATTAAGTTAAAACTAGTACCTACTTACTAGATATTAAATTTAAAAGTATTTTCTTGTAAAATCCGAGAAGCAAGTTTAGCCTAAATATTAGGCGACTCTTAAACGCTTAGTTTGTGCAGCTTTAACCATCACCATAGATATTTCTATATAATGGTCTTGCTATGATTTTACAATAAATATATGAATATCAGGCATAAAACTGGCACTTCTTAGAAAAAAAATTGTCGATGCATGTCAACTACACCATCTACCCACTCGCCTTAAAATAATGCATAAGACAGACGCAGAAATATATGTGCCTTCCGTCCCATTGGGGGGATTACGAGAGAACATACGGGCTCACTTTAGCCGATAATTGCGTATAGATTTTTCCGGCCTAAACTGAATTAAACACCATAGAGTGTTATGCTACTTATCGTTTTTGTTATAATCTAAGTTATACATTTTATTGCTAATAATTTTCTTCGTATAAGTTCTTTAAAACGCTTCAGTGATTTAGCCGTGAGAAATAAACTTGCGCTACTATTCGGACACATATTTATTATAATTACTTTTATTAACTGTATGTATAATATGTTACATCTACTCCATGGATGGTAATTCACGCGAACAAAATAAATAGGTATTGTCCGTGTCAGTAATGCAGTTGTAGACAATTATTATAGATATTATGTATATTTTATTGATTGTTTAAATATTTATTGTTTAAAGCGCCATCTATTAAAAAGAACAGTAGGTAAGTGTAGATGTTGCCGTGCCGTTCGAGCGTGCGTTGCACAGGCGAGGCGTGACTGCGCGATTCCACATAATCAAATATACTTTATCTGTATACGGCCCGCTGCTATAACTATTAACTATATTAAGCTGTGCAGTGCTGGTGTCAGTCACCCATTTTACTTTATAGTTTATTAATTATTTTAAAAACTGACATCCGACATCTAAGCAAACGTGCTTTTGGGAATGTGTTGATTTATAAACAATAAAATGTCTATGTTAGCTGAACCACGGCGAAAACAGAAAATAATCAATCTCCGCGCTAAAAATAATGCGTGGAGCAATGATACAAACAAGTTTGGACAACGCATGTTGGAGAAAATGGGTTGGAGTGCTGGAAAAGGGTTAGGTGTAAAAGAAAATGGAATAGTTGAACATGTGATCGCTAAATACAAGAATGATGACAAAGGTCTTGGTTATGAAGATAAAAATGACCAGTGGACCAAGCATGACGACGATTTCAATGCTTTATTAGCGAATTTATCAAATGGTAAGTACCATGTGAATGATTTTTTTCTTATAATATGAAATATCCTAAGTCCGTAGTAACTTGTTAAGTTTAAATGTATAAAGAGTATTTATTATACTTGTTAAAATATCTATTTGTACAGCACATTTATTGTAAGTTATTGAAAAACTTAAGCACAATAATATATTAACAATATTATAATTTTATTTTTAGATAAAGATGAGACTAAAGAAGTCTTGCATAGTGGAGTTTCATTAGAAACTAAATCAAAGAAAAGTAAAGCACGTATACACTATCATAAGTTCACTCGAGGTAAAGATTTATCAAGGTACAGTGAGAAAGACCTTGCCAATATCTTTGGAAAAAAAAGCTTCAAGGAAGAAACCGTTCTAGATATTGGCAAGGAAGAAATAGAATCAACTGAGAAAGTCTTTACTGAAAAGGGCAGCATGGAAGATTATTTTAAATCAAAAATGTCTGCTTTGAAGTCAAAAATAATATCAAGTGATGTGAACTGTGATGAAAACACTGATTGTCCAGATTTTGTATTCCAAGGGTTTTCTTGCACAAAAGAAGATGGAGATAATATAGTAGAGGAAAAAGAATCCTTATTTTATAATAATTCTGATAAAAATAATGAACATGTTCATGATGATAGAGAAGAAAAATCAACTAAAAAAAAGAAAAAAAGAAAAAGTAAAAAAGAAATCTCTAGTCAAGATAATACCGAGAGGGAATATTTTGTTCCTCAAGGTTCTAATGATAAACAAGACAAAATCTTTTCAAGTGACTCCCTGAATGAATTGGAGGATACAGTTTTGTTAAAAAAGAAGAACAAACGTAAAGTTTGTAATAATGAAGTTCAATGTGCAGTCATACATGATATAACTGATGATGGGGGAAATAAAAAAAGTCAAAGAAAAAGGATAAAAAAGCGGATTTATTAGACGTTTCGGAACAAATACTAGCTGATAGTAGTGTCAAAGATAATCCTTTGCCTAAGAAGAAAAAGAAGAAAAATAAAGAATTTTAAATATTTATTTTATCTTTTACATAGTTTAACAATTTCTATCAATGATAATTTTTTTAAGAATTCAAATTTTAAAAAACACAGTAAACTGTAACTTTAACTTAAAGCACATTATTAGGCATTTGGTATTCCATATTACCCAGTTATAATATACTTAGTACTAAATTTAATTTTGCTTTTTAAAATTGTGATAAAAATTACTATTATTTTGATTGATCATTGCTTTAGTACCTACCAATTATAACTCTAACGATTTTAACCAATAAGAGTTTTAGATAAAATCGCAATGAACCGCATAGTAAGCAAGTACGAGTCATGAGTCGTGACTCGTGAGGTTAATCTACCGACGCGTCATATTCATGTGACCAGATTTCATTTGACGAATCTACTGCTCGTGGAGGTTAAAAACTACTAATTCTACGAAAGGAACGAGAAAATACAAAAAATCTATTATATTTTTTGCTGTTGGTTTACAACGTAAAACATGAATTTTCTTGATTAAACGATAAAATAATAAAAGTAGTAAAGATTAATTAAAGAAGCGAAGTTTTTTTTAATTTAATTCTTACTACAATTTTTTTAAATTAATAATAATAAAATGAAACTTAAAGCTAAGATTTTTCGTCGTTATGTTGGATATTGTCATAAAGCTGTTTTGAGTCCATTAGCTTGATCATACTTTTGTCAGGATCAAATCTGCTACATCCTCCTTCCAACTGTCGTAGCCCCTCTTTTCCATGCATAATTGCAGCAACATTCTTGTTATTAAAACGATTTCTATCTTGACTTTTAATTCTATTAATATCGGAAAATATTCTTTCAACTTTGGCGTTAGACAGAGGTAGTATTGTCATTTGCTTCACAAACCGGGCCAAATTGCCATATTTTGGTTTGCTATTCGCATCGCAAATTTGGCTGACCTCACTCCAAAATTTATCCACCATAAAATTTTCAGAAGTTGAACTCGAAGTTGACAATAAATTAGACACGGAAACATCTAATTTTAATTCCCTATATTCGTTGTCAACAATTTGCATATTTTCTGTTGTAACTAAGTTAGGGAAACCTTTGTAGTATTTTTATTAGAGTTCGAAATTCACCATACACTGCCTTTTGGGGATCGATAAACGACAAATCCTGCAAGAAATTATCTTGTACAGGCAGTCTTTGGAGAAATTGTTTACTTAGCTCGATCAAAAATGCTTGACATCTGTTAAGAAACTCTTCAATTTTAGATTTCATTCGAACATATCTTTTAATAATTCCAATGTTATGGCTACGTTTGTGCCCAGGTACATGTTTTGTATAGGAAGGAAATGCATACTTGAACTGGGATCTATTGACTGAAGCGAATAGTTTTAATATAATTTATCTTCATAAAACAACTCAAAATGGAACTCATCATGTTTTGTATATCTGTGTCAATTTTATGATGAGCGTCTGATCACTTTGAAAAATAAGTTAAATTTTGTAGTTATGGGTAATATAAAATCTAAAAAGGAAAGATAAAGTTTTGTTTCATCGCTGTTAAGGTGATCAAATATAAATTGCAATACTTTGCATTCTTATTTCCTAAAAACTCATTTTGAAAAAAAGTTTTAATGCTGACACTTCATTCGGTGATGCATTGATGTAGGACCACTATTCATAGTGACGAGCATATGGTGAGTTGGTTCAGTAAAATTTTGAAATTCGACAAATCTCTTGACGTTGGCTACTTAGAGAGTATGATAAAATCTTTGACAAACAACTCTATAGAACGAGGTAATTTTTTGCATGCATAACTTACTGAAAGATTTGTTGAGTGGCAATATTTAAAAAAAACAGTTTGGGTTGACTTCCCTAAGTACCACCTATTCCTTTCGCCAAACATAACATTCGTTGTATCAGCAGCGAACCTTTAAATTTTCTATGTTAAGGTTTCTTTCAGAGCACTTTAAACTATCAAACAAATACTCCAGTTTCACCTTTTAATCCACCATCAAAAATTTTGTTTGTGGAGATTGCAATTTTTCTGAGTAGTACTTTATTGCTGCTGCAAGTACCTTGGTAGTACTGACATCTGTGCTTTCGTCGATAATGAGCGAAAATACTGGTTCTCTCAGTTTCATTTTCCAGCCTTGGACGTAATTCTGCAAGCATTTTTTTCTTCGAAGTTATTGCCTAAGACGTTGTAAGCAATTGCGGCAGATTTAGTTCTTCTACAGGAAAAGTTTTGCGATTTCAGAGTCGTGAAATCCCTTGAATATTCCTTAGTGATCCATAGCGAAAAGGAATATTATGTTCCACTAATGCAGTACATCTGATTTCTGCTTTTTTACTTCTTCCGAAATAGTTGATGTTTTAAAAATCTTCAATCTGTAAACAAAAAAGTTAAAAATAAGTTAGGACAAAAAAGTCAAAAACTAACAATCTTAATATATATAAATCTCTTCACAATGTTTGTCCTAATACTCCTACCCACCATTCAACAATTTGCCACCGTGTGTAGTTTGATCCAAATTAAAAGGTAGTTTAAATCTCAAATTATAGTCGCAATTTATTTTATTGCAAAATATTTGTTTATTATTTGATACAATTCTAACAGATGGCGCTGTGTTATAGTCAACGTTTCACATGCTTTCATCTACCTTTAAGATAAGTTCTCCACCCCTAACAGATGGCGCTTGTTAAAAGTTAACGTTTCACATAAGCTACCTTTCACATACGTTCTCCTACGTTTCCCTTGAATAGTTTACTACTATGTAATATAACAAAAACCTTAGCCACACAACGCTTGGCCGAGTCTGCTAGTTTTAATTTCATTTAAATAAATAAAATGCATAAACACACTAGTTGTATAATAATAATTGTTATGTAAATGTGTAGATAATAACTACTTAAAACAGCGAAAGTTTGTTTTTGAATGGAAATCATAAGGTTTAGAACATAATACGGGTTCACATGAAAGTATTAAATTTTTTTAACAAAAATAATTAACTAAGCTTACATTCCACATATCAATGTAAGTACCTTACGTACCTTAGAAATGCCGGAATATCCTTTCATGTTTTTTATATGCTTTGATGTGCCATATGTTCCTTTAAAGATGCCACTCTACTTAGTACTTCACAGTTGCATGCTTTACAATGAGCACTCGTAGTGTTTACTCTAGATTTAGACAACCAACTTTTAAATGAGGGATCTTGCTCCCATTCATCGCGATATATTTGTGTATATTTACGTTTCATTATATACTCGATTATATAAATTCTCATAAAGGTATTCCCACTAATCACAATATGCTCACGAGTCACGGACGAATGGTTTATAGTAACGAAAATAACGAAAATTCAATAGAACTTACCACCCAATCATGAAAGGGGAATACCCCGCATTTATTCGATGTGCCAAAAAATACCTACTAGAATAACTGATAAACGTGAATTCTACTAAAATATACCAAATAATTTTTACATACTAAATTCTGTTGCCAGTACCTCAAAATCTACCAAAAAGTAGAAATCACTAATCGGTCACACTGGTCATATTTTGAATAGCCGCCATCTTGTTTAGGTTGAGTATCGCCATTTGCCATCCCGCTACGAGGCACACATTCATTACATTTAAGAAGTTGGAAAGTAATAGTTATTACTTACAATATTCAGAAAAAATCTGATACAAGTTTAAATTGATTATCTAAAATAATGTTCAATGTTGTGTAACTTTGTATTGAGTGTGAAAAGTGAAAACTACATCTGGTACATTTACTGGTACGTAATTATTGTAAATTGTCAACCTGATGTAAACTGTCGCATAGTTATAATGGCAATTCTCAATAGTGTCATGGCTGTCTGAAAATAAAAACACGTGTTTTATTAAGTGCAAAATAGTGATTTATTTTTAATTTTACCGAAGAAGATGTTCAAAAATTTATAATATGGTGATTCAAAACATGGATGACACACCGCAAACCGAACCAGCGTTTTCTGGCTTGGATATGATTAGTCAATCGAAGAAATCACAGAGGCTAAAGAGACATTCCAGTCAAAATACCTCTGAAAGCTGTCTGAGTACGTCTTTAGATAAATTATCAGAAGTAAGCAAAGAAGATCTGAATGAACTCCATACTGCATATAAAAAATGTAAAGAAGTTATAAAAAAAATTGAATCCAAGTATGGACATTTGTTACAAAAAGATGACACTTTGTTAGAAGATATTTTGGAAGAAGAAAATAATACTATAAATTTATGTACATGTTCTTTTAACAAAAAAATTGTTTTTAATGAAGATGGACAGCAAGTAACAAGAGATATAGTTCCAGACTTACATATTTGTCCAAAAAAGCCAAGATTTCTCAATCCATCACCATTTAATCCGTTACCTAAGAATCAGCCTAATCTCCTTATTGAGCATGAATTTGATTCCTTACCAAATGATTTAAACGAGTTGTCTGAAATACTTAAAGATGAAACAATTGATGTTGCTTACAGAAATAAAGTAATACAAAAAATTAAGTTAATTCGTCTCGATAATATTAACACTATGAGATATGATAGAAAAATTTTAATAGAAAAATTAAAAGTAAAACCTGATAGTTTATTTGAATTTAAAGGAGCTAATGTATCATCTATACCTGGATATCCTGTAAAACCTGTCGAGGAAGCATAAAATTTGTATACTGCTTTTAATTACAGATTAATTTAAGTACAGAAATATTAAAGAAGAAAAGTTTATATTCCTATAGTCTTGGTATTGATTTCAGAAATAAGTAGTGTATGTAGTACTCCTAAAATGTTTTTTTTTATGATTCACAATATAACATGTAATAACATTGTGAAATGTTTAGTTATTGTGGTGATATGTATAATTATGTATTTGAACTGGCGAAAATGTTTTATCATATTGCCATATATATCACCTTGTTGCCTTATTTAGGTGTTATAACTTATGGTTATTAGTTTTTCTATTTGACACAATATTTTTTAAGAGTTAGTAAACAATATTAGTTATTTACTATGCTTGTCTATTTTATGAGCTATGAGTAAACATTTGTAAAATCTGTGACAAATAGAGTTTTTCAAATAAGGAAAACAAAAATTAAGATAAAAATCTGTTATTAGTTATAATGTTTCAAATTAATTAGTTTTAAGATAAGATAAGTAATACATTGCCTGTCATGATATATGTTATAACATGTGTTTTACCAGAATATACTCTAATTTTGTATGAGAAATTCATTTTATTTATAGAAAACTTCCCTATCCTTTATTTGTTACATGTTTTTGTTGTTGGTGAGAAAAGATAACCGTAATAGCTCATTATTATTTTTGAGGTATTTTCTGTAATTTAAAGTGGTTGAATTGTAGAAAGTAATCATGTGTATAAAATGTTACAGTGTAAGATTTAAATAACCAGTATCATTAGCATCTAATCATGGATCTTTTCAGTTCCAAAGGTCTAATCTAGTTAGAAAACTGAACTAGTCAAACAGGTTACAAATTTCCATCGACTCTCGAGGAAAAATTCTTAATCAGTCGGTTCAAAATATTTTTAAATGTATAACTGCAAAGTATTATCTATATTCTATATTGATGTGAAGGAGTTTTTGCTTCCTATTTTTGAAACTAATACCATAACAGCTTATATTAATAAAATTAGAAAATCCAGTAGCAAGAAATTAACACTGCCACATATCATTTGAATCAGTGTGTACCTACTGTGTGTTACTTGCCCACTATACCAGTCATTTAACGAGATATGCTTTCGTCTTTGTAACATAGCAAAATCCTTTATGTTAAACATATCACAATTCTTAAGTAATTTAAATAAAAGCATACATTTGGAATGTCCATTGTTTTTAGTTACATACATTAAAAACTATGTAGTTACTTTACAACTTGTCAGTTAAATTTGTGCATTATCACAATCATATAAGTATTATTTTAGAATGTAGTTTGCCAACTGTGGCATGGTTTTTGCTGGATTGTAAACAGAATAATGATGACTTAGCATACCATGTTTCGCGAACACAGCATTGTAATTTGAACATTAGGAAATCTAGGTACTAGGATGTAGGTAACTAGTGTGTTGTTTGTGTTGATACCCTAACTTAGGTCTAAATATAATATAATTATACTAGAGTGATGTCATTCATGTGTCAAAAGTAGCAATTAACCAGACCGTATCATACGTGAAGGGCACCGAACCTTCATTTGTAACACTATAGTCCGCAATCCCACCACTGCACAACGGGGTCACTCATTCATTTGACAAACCAGTTTGCTTTAAAGAGATAAAATTCTTCTTTCACAGTATTGTATGGTATTTGCTAAACAAAAAACAATTTGGTCTCGGTGTACCGTACCGTACTCTCATTGAAATTAACACCCATACTTTCAACACTATATACAGGATGCCCCCTTTCCCATTTATTTTTTATTAAATTCTAGTTATTTAAGTTACTTTAATGTTGTTTTAGGTGGTAGTCGACTTTAAACAAGATAATTTCGTGATTGACTAATTTGAACAAAACTGTATCAATCCTCGTGTTACACATTCTTTTACAAAGAAGTTGTATAGGGTAATTTCTGACACCTTTCTGAGGGCTGTTATACTACGATCTTCGCGAAAAGAAATCGGACTGGTAGTTTGTTATTAAAAACAAAGTTACAAATAAATTAAACATTTCATTTCCTCCTTACCAAGCTTTGCTTAACACTTTAAGTAAATTTACAATAAATGAATCAGAATGTTTTACAATCAATGATAAAATACATAGTTATTTTTTTATAATTAAGATTTATGTACCACCTGTATAAAACCTACCTTACGGAAGGCAGTGTATTCTCATACGTCGCGAGACCGCGTCAACGTAGGACGCGTAATAAACATTACCGGATAGTGTACAACCTATTTGTAATTGTTTATAAATTGTGTTACAGTGTGAATATGAAAATTGACAACTTTGGATTTTACGATAAATCACAGGTATTAATTAAATATGTAGTGGTACTTTTAATTGTTTAGTTGAGCCAGTTAACTCGAATATATATAATTAAGCTTAACTACTAACAAAGTTAGCTTATCTTATAAAAATTATTTGTTATAGTAAAATACTTATTGGTAATAATTTTCAGTTCTTGATTTCGGTTCCTAGCGACAAAGTATTCTTTATGGTAAAGCACCGGAGGTTATTCGCCTACTTTTCCTATAAATTATTAATTAAATTGACGTAGGAATGTGTCATCCCCATGTTCAATTGTGTCAAAATAAACAAAAGACAGTCAAAGAAATTTTAGTTTCTATATCTTCTGTGTTATCTGAGGGCGGCCGTAAGATAATTGATTGTGTGTTAATAAAATCATTATAATTAGTATGTCATAACTTGAGATTCTATTAATGCCCACATATGTTTTGTTGCATATAAACTTAGGCGTAGGTGTTATGCGTAGGACTAACCTATAGCGCCGTAATTTACTGTCAATAACATTTTATAACATGCACATAATTATTATATAACAAGGTCATTATAATAAGAAAGCTGACTCACATGCGTTTGCCGTTTGCTGACTGTTCATTGCTCTTTTAAGGCGCATCCCACTTTCATACATGAGATCCGGGATTCTATATCCAGAAAGTATCAAAGCATATACAGGAGTTTGCAGCTAAAATATATTATAAGATAGATGGGAGTGTTATATGCAGCAGTAAATCTAGTAGTGTGTGGCATAAATGAAATCACCCTTTTCTGGAAAAGGGAATAAAACATAATTCATTATTTATTTATTTATTTAATAACAGCACAATGGCCAAATGCTCTTTTTTTTTTCCTTCCCCGCTTTCCTTCCCCTTTTTTTTTGGTTTTATTCAATGACCGATTATACTACGGGGATCTCGATCTCTTAATAGATTTTGGCATCAAGCGCTAGATCCACACTTAATAATTTAAATTTAGATTAAGTTTGGTAATTGTATAATTTTTCAGTGTTACTTGTTATTTAATTTTTGTTGATTTTGTTATGCAGTTCTTGCACTTTACCCTTAGTATTTCTTTTTTGTGTTTTTCCTTTGTAGGGTTGCCTGGAAGAGATCGATTGTTAGCGATTAGGCCAACCGTTGCGTCCCTAATAATTTATGTTATTTGAACGAAGTTTTAATAAATAAATAAAAACATTGATTTTATTTGTAATAGGTAACGTTTGCTTAAGTAAGTTATGTGTTTATAACAGCTTATGCGGATGTGTGTTTCTTCCCTGAGGGCTTGACATCCGTATCAATTCTAAAAAATAATAAATTGTGCGTGTACTAGGTGTACGTACACACGTAAGAAGTGAAACTTCTTTATGATCTTATTTTTCGAAAAATGATCTACTATATGCAACTTTACAGAAATTTGTTAAATTAGATAAAGTTTAACAAAAGGCTTTTATTATCATAGACATGAATACAAATATTTCATTTTACCTTATTACTACGAAGATTATTATGGAATTTCATTAATTGTAATAGAATTATTACTATCATTGAAAAACGTGACGATTTGCTACAAAATTTCTCGCGTAACCGAAAAATGTGACGCGTAACGAAAAAATGTTACACTAAATTTTTTTCCAACCTCGATAAAGAAGTTTCACTTCAAAAAATATTTAGTTACCTTTTTGAAATGATAAAACTGGAACTAAGTTAAAATAGCATTGGTAATGATTTAGGCGTCACTCATTCACAATCTACTTATTGTCTTACAATATAAGTAGATCTTAAGACTTCACAAGGCTTTTAACTGGCTTCATAACATTCCTACATACGTTAAAATAGAGTATATTTTTTATGCCATTTTAAAAATCCTAGGTACTTAAAAACAGTGCATTTCTGAACAAAGCAAGTAGTTACTTTGCGGTCTGATGCGAACCCTAGATAATTAAAAACCAGGAATCCTTTTAATAACTGTGCCCTTATTGCTTAAAAGTACTATTTTAATATCGTTGTATGAACTATATAGTCTGGACGAATACTAATAGAATATTTTATACCACATTTCTTAATAACTTACAGCTTTTTCTACTAGTTTATTATGGTAATGTTACGAGAAAATGAAAAGATTGATCACAGATATTAACCTCTTTACACGTTTTTAGTTCTTGCTATAATTGTTTAAATAGTGGTTTTATTCATAAATCCGAATAAAATATACTTTGAAGCTAGATAAAGCCCATAATAAATCTTTAGCTTAACATAGTTAGCGTAATGCATCGAAAAGCTATGATTCAAGCTGATTGCAATATGCATCTGGGTGTGTCAGTCTCCTGACCGTGAGAAGTCGCCTTCAAAGGCCATATTATATCTAATACAATTCTATTAGTACGTGAAAGTTTCAAGGTGTACAAATGAAGTTAATATAGAATATGCATTTTGTAAGGCCGATCTTAATCCGTTTCTTAAATAGGCTTATTGTATTGTTTTCTTAGTTATATCTAGATAAATACATATCGATTTTATTTGTTAGTAAATTACATAAGGAAAATAGATAATAAAATACATTACTAAAAAATCTAATACGATTTTATTTGTAAATGTTATATTTTGTTTATTCTAATGCGTATTTACATTTTATAACTCTAGTGTGTCCGAATCACAATAGTCAAGTGTCAACACATAGACGTCTGTAGTCT